CTTCTATGTGATTACCTAAAGGCAACATGTAGGAAGCGCCATTTAGCTTGGTAACTTGAATTGGGAGCAAGTGTCAAAATAGATCACAGCCGTAGTTGATATTAAAGTTATTGCTTTTCATTTTGTGTGTAACGGGAAATCTAATTAATAAAAAAAAAAAAAAAAAAAGGTTGAATATTTCGTGCTGTATTTTACATATATTTATGTATATTATATGATAATAAAAAATGTGTTGCCAATTTTATGTCTACGGCCATAATTCTCAAATTCGAAGAAAAGAAAAAAATCACGACAGTACTCAAGAAAATAAAATGAAGAGTGTGGCAGTAGCATCAGTGGCAGCAGCTGTTGTATGCTCTGTTACACCAATCATTTGCCCATCATGCGTCAGTACAATGGTTTGTACAAGTGTAAAAGACAGTCGAAGCAGGCAAATCTACAGCCTGAACACGTATTCCGGTGCATATGCACTGAGCAAGCTTAGTGTAAAGAACCTTTTTCAAAAAAAAAAAAAAAAAAAAAACAAAAAAAAAAAAAAAAGGAATAAATAAATAAAAAAAGGAAAAAAGTCTTTTCTTGTCTTTTCTCTAAAGCCACTTCACTTACCATATGAGCTGTCATTCAAGACAGTTTGCAAGTATGAAATGCTATTTTTGTGTATAGCTATGTACACATACATACATTCTATATATGTTATTGTATGGATTTGGATTACAGATGACAAGAGCTTGTTAGCGAAAGCGTAGAGCACATTAAATATTGAGTAGTGTTATACGAAACAGAAGCAGAAACACGTTAGAAGCAATAGGAAACCGTATACAACATTCATGTCAAAAATCGCAAAAAGGAAACGGAACTGTCGATAGCAATGCCTCGGTTGGACTATATATGTGTACGTACGTATACAGTTAAAGTATTTATAGTTTAGCGCAAATATTAGCTGACAGTAGTTTTACTTTTGCTTTTGCCAAGGAAAGGCATTTCCCAAAATTTGACATTTTTTTTTCTTTTCTTTTTCATTTTGAAATTCTGGTCGAATTGTAGGGGAAAACCAAGGAAAATATTTAAACGCAAGTACTTATGCATACATATATATATATATATATATATGTATGTATCTATGTGAATAAAAATCTTTTATATTTACTTGTAAGCTACACAGCATAGCATCGCATAATCAGGCACATATCACTTCAATATCATATCGTGCTTGTGATTTGGATGATCTGCCATATATATATGTAGATTTGTGCTGAGTTAAGTTTATTGAATATAGTAAGTAAAGCTTGATAAATTTTTGTGAAAATCAATGAACGTAACAACAGACACTCATATAATTTTATTGCATCTTTGAAGGGATTGTATCTTCATTAAGGAAATATATTTATATTTTTTGGTTAAAATTTGATATTTTTGCTTAAATATATGTGTTTTCGTTTTTTTTTTTTTTTTAAAAAGAATAAAAAAAAAAATTGTTCTTTTTCCTTAACATGTCAGCGGTAGTAGATCGTTTAAAATAAAAAAATATAACATACTTTTGGACAGGATAGTAATAAGTAATCAAGACACAGTTTAATAAACAAGAAATTAAAACAGCTTTCTGTGCTAAGCGCAGAATTATTTGTACACAAGCTAACACGAACAGGTGCCGGATTTTTTTAAAGCTTATCTTTGGCTTCTTTCGTCTTCAAGAAGTAGTGGTTAGTTTATTACCAACGAATAAATGGCACAATTCTTCATCGGACAATAACGCAATAATTCATTCCATGATATATTTGATAGCAACCTGCCTGCAGACTAAAATCATATATACCTATGATATCTTAATTACTGATAAACGGTGACGAAGCTGTTTAGCTCGGTTTAGCGGATTTTCGAACCTTACACTGCAATTTTAGGAAGAAACGTTCAGAGATGAAGAGAAAATCGGTTTACAAAGACAATGCGTAAGAAGAAGCAAATACGCATTCACTGTATTCAAAATTTGCAACATCTCATTGATAGTCGTACGAACGAAAAAGCTATAGACCGATTTAGCTGATGTTTGATGGCTAGAACTTAAGGTCATACGTCTGTCATATTCTCTTTGAATTGCTGATAAGTTTCTTTAAAACGTTTACAGAGGGCTCGTGTGGAAAAACACAGTTAATAGTCAACCCTACACCGCGGTAGACGCAAGGCAAGAAAGTGTCTAGACTGTGAAGACACGGGATAGTAAAGCCAAGCTCATTCAGTAGGAATGCTGCCTCCACATGATCGTTAATAAGTTTAACCACAAAACTCTTTCGGGTAGATGAAAGCTCATTCTTGAGCTGAGAGTTTAACCACAAAACTCTCAGCTCAAGAATGAGCTTTCATTTACCCGAAAGAGTTTAGGCTTATTAAATGTAGCCTGTTCTCATAAGGAGGGGGTGTTCTGTAACTTTATTAATAATATTTTACTATTTTTGGGGTAACATCATTTATTGGAGTATTTTTAGGATTTCTGAACGCCGTATTTTATATCGTTTGAAGTCAGTACCTGTAAGAGTTCTATGCAGAGGGCAGAAGAAATGAATGTCGAAGTGCTGAAGGTTTGGGCGGTACAGTCAACACTTCAAACGTCCGTTAAGGTCCCTCAATTGGCAATCCGGTATTAAAAATATTGCGATGCTGAACAACGTCTCAATTACTGGTCACTTTCGAACGTTTTATCTCAGTTATGAGTTTTAATGTCATTAGTTATTAGTACTGGACAGCGGAAGTAATCGTCGGGCCAAGTCGATGTACCTGCTTGTCTTGTACCAAGGTTTCCCCTTTACAACTCCATTAAACACAAAGCGTTACTTTACGTAGTGTCAATCCTGGCTTTGTTACCGTTTATGCAGCTTAGAAAACGGTCTTTTTCGCATGTTATTGTTGTATGCGATCGACTATTCAACGCTTCTTATCAATCCTTACAAAAGTTACTCCATATTGAGTTTTTGACTTTTGTTTGCTTTCCATATATTTTCTGATTTCTGTTCACAAAATTATTTTCGTTCTATAGAAAAGAAATGACGTAGCTAAAAGCATCAAGTGCTCTTTCAAAAGCACTCGGTCTACTATGTAAGAGATTATGAGGCTCTCAACACAAATCTGAGAGCGTAGCTAGTATTGTTAACGAGCTCAGAATATAATGTGCTCTGTAAAAGGTTATGCGATCTGAGCGACAAAGGTGTTACCCGTTTCACTGTGCATGTCCGACCTTGGTCACAAAGCGGTTAAGACTACTCTAGCCATCGCATATCTTTCTTAGAATTCGGAAAAATTCTTGTCAGTCATTATCAAAAATACCAATACACTATCAGCATGAATAGGCGGGTAGCAGGAAATTGCGACTGCCAAGTCACACACAGGTTCACCGGTTCAAATCTGAATGCGGCAGTCATTAAATGTATAACACATACTGACTGGGCGCACACCAGCACTGTTTTCCCTCACGTGCTTCTGGCCGTTATCGCGATCATGTCAAAAAAAAAACAAAAAAACTAAAGTAAACAAATGAATGAGTGATGGGATTCGGGTACAGGGGATTTGATGTTCTGCAGCTAGTTTAACTGTCCATTTCCATTTATGGTTACGCCTTCTAAGTTCTGAATACATTGTTTGAAAGTGGGCGTATCTTGGAATTAGCTGCGTCTGCCAGTGTGCGGACTGCTCTCTTATTTAAAATCTAGTCAATGTCTTTGCCTTGTTAATGGCTCCAGTAAATAAATTTCGTCAAGTCTTGACTTCCTTGAAGAAAATATTTACAGCATTTTTATTAGCTTAAGAACAGATCAATAGATCGGCCCAAATATAATGCGTTCATTGTGTCTATTTAACATTATAATTTACTTCCAATACAATGATGAGATCATAAATTTTCGTTATTCAAATATTACCTCAATTTATTATATGTAAATAAAAAATAAATTATTGAATAAAATTGAAATTGAAGTAGACACAGCAATCGAAATAATGACCTAAATTTATTAAAGCCAGTAGAGCCTTTAAAGTAATACATAACTAAAGCAATACAAATAAATGCTTAAAATGCAAACTAGCCAACCTTAAGCCATTAATCAAATGTCAAAACTACGCATACACATCTATAGCATTTTAAATGTGTATAAGTAATTGTGTGTGCATATGCGTTTATGCTACTGCGCTTATATGTATGTCAAAATCCGTACATATGAAAAAGGTTTTATATAATATTTGTACACATCTTTTATTTTCCATTTTTTTTTTTATTTATTTATTTGTTTATTTAGTTTTCTAGCAGAAATCATTTATATTGCTTTTCAAACTAACTGGCAGTTATGCATTAACAGTCTTTAACGAATGTAACGAAATTATTAAAATTAGATAACTTATGCTTATGTGGATTTCGCTTTTATTGGCTTAAGAACAAAAGGAAAATAAAAAAAATAAAAAAACAAGAATTGAACGGAAAAAAATATTTAAATGAGTTCTAAAATACCATAAAATTAAATTTATTAGAGGATAGTCGTCCCCTTTTTAAGAAAAATAAGTACAACAATAACAAAAATAAAGTAAAAAAGCTTTATTTACTTATTTTTTTTATTTATTTATTTTTTTTGTTTGCTTTATTTGTCCAATTTTTTTTTTTTTTTATGCTCATAAGTCACTAAGAAATAAATTTAATTTGCAATAATCATAAATAACAGACTTTTAACCACTAACAGTAAAACAGTTGAACCATAGGAGCCATAAAACACCCAGAGTAAAGATTTAAGATAATAATCTATACATACATATATGTATTTATATTAAAAATTAATAATAAATATCGATGAAAATTTTACTACGAACTGACGTCTAAAACAAATAAAACTTTTCAGCTATGGGTTGCGCTTTAGTTCAGATGAAACATTTTAATCAAAAAAGAAACTCATCAACCAAACATATTTCATTCGGCGCAAGCACTTAGGCTAGACGTCCTAATCACTAGGCCATACGATATCCGCATGAATAGCCGAGCAGTTAAGAATCGCATCTACCAAGTCCGTGTTCTTGGGCTCACATCTCAGTGCGTCGAGTTTACTTTTGGTTTTAATTACAGTGAATGCTCAGCTGATAGAGGGATAACACTTACCGATTGAGCACACACCCACTAAGTTCCGACCGCTTTTCTATCTCTTTCTCTTTCCTCACTTCTTTTCGACCATCACCGTATTACAAGAATAAGAGGCATCGCCTCAGTGATTGGTCGTCGAGTTAAAAAATGAAGGAAAATAAGCAGTCAGACAAGACAAGTGGTGTTCGAGGGCATTAACATACTTTTTGCAGACTGACGAACACATCTGTGACTTTGTGAAGGCACAAACCACGATAAGCGCGCGAAGCGCTTTTTTGACATTTACCAAGTTAAGGCATTTTTAATCATTCGTACGTCTAAATCAAGAGATTAGTAGTCTATAACACAACATATAACATAAAGAAGATCTAACTTGGCCTGTTCATTATATGCTGGTTTGAAATGTTTATTTTTATGTTGAAAAAGACATTCGTCCTATTTTTCAATGATCGATCAAGGGTAATTGCGTTTTCTCTCGGCCATAGCCGTAGAGCCGTAGTACTTCCACACTACTTTTTTATTCGGCTATTATTGCGTAATCGGATAAAGAATTCTTTAGTCACAATGCGAGTCATTCAAAGAATCATTTGACTGATTCCTTTAAGCAATGGCATCATCTTGCTTACGAAACAAGTATACTGAAGATCTTGGAGAGGCATAGGAAGTTGTTTATGCTGTTGAATCGACTGCCTTTGAAATTGACTCATTCTAACCAATATTTATGTATGCATGATGTATATATTAAAGCAATATTTCCTTTCATGTCTAATGGGTCCCCACAGATATTGTTTTCAAACGGCTCTTGCAATGGATATGCATGTCACTCAGGATTACATAAATTTTTTGCTTCCGTGCTGCTGTTAAAGAAGACTAAGATTTTCCCGCCACTATTTCATTGAATAGGAGTCCGAGAAATATCTTTAAGAGCCAAGAGCTTCCTTCTCTGCGCCCTAACTTAACCGAAACGAGTTTCCAACATACACCGCAAGGCAAAAATAAAAATATGAATAATTCGTTACACTTTGTTGTACATTTAAAAAAAACATTAAAAATTCCGTTATAAATCACCTGATTTTTCAATTTAAGCAAATTTCTAAAAGCTGAGCTGGTTTCTACCGTTATTTTTTCCCTGCTTTTTTGTTTTTGTATTTATCAAAGAAGTTATAAATTTTTGATTATTTTTTTGTTTTGTTTTTGTTTTCTTATTTTTTTTTTTTTTCTGTAACATTAAATTGCACGAAACGAAGTTTACCTTTTTGCGTAAAATTTAACACTCCCAACCTAGGCTGCTCTTGAAATGACCCGCCATTATATCAGGTTTGTATGGCAGCTTATAAATTACTCGAAACAGTTAAACTGTGTGCTAAGCAGTTATTTATTTGCTCGCGATTTAACTTAACCGATCTTATATTAGCTTTATCAAGCCGTGTATGACTTATCACTAAAAAGTTTCATCTAATTAAATCATTATATTTCTAAACCTTTAGTGTTTAATAAAAAAAAAAAAAAAAAAAAAAAAAAAAATTTAAGAGTCGTGTACAACAATCCTTAAAATATGATTAGCCATATATATTTATGCGACTTTCATTGAGGATTTACGCGTAGAGCCAGTAGAAGAGGACAACCTGTCTGTGTCTGTCTGCCTGTTTAAAGAATGCCGATTTGATTGGCAGTCAAAACGGATCAGGTTGGATGATAATAATAATTTCGGTGATGGGTATCTAAGATTCGTTTCAAGTCCTGGTTGTTTTCGCTTTGGGTTTTTTTTTTACATTTTCATGGTTTGAATTATTGTCTCCTGTTTCTTTTCAATTTCATATTAAACATGTGTTTTTAATGACTTCTTTTTTACAAAACCTTTGAAAACAACTTTGCTTACATAATTATAAGACAACTCTTCTGTGCTGACATTGTAACACAACTTTGCACATTAACACACAGCGGGGCAGAGAGTTAACATTTGAAAAAAAAGAGAGAAAAAAAAAAGAAGAGAATTAACAAAAAACCAAGTCTTAAATCATTTTAATCACTTAATCATGCATTTACCTTCTCGCGGGGAACTTTGTGATTGGACGGTGTAAAATCATACGACGAAAAAGAATGCGATCCATATATTTAAATAATTTAAAAATGAATAACTAACGGAATACACACGAACACAATCGAACGTACGACTAACACATATTTAAATCCGGCCAAACTCTGTGCAAAAAAAAAAGATAAACACCAGGATGAAAATACACTTTTGTAGCGTTATCGTTGAGTTTGCAATGTGTGTGTGTGTGTGTGTGTGTGTGTCAAAACACACATTAGAGGCTACATTATGTGTACGCGCTGAGTCATTCAAAAATTTCTTACCCTACCATGCAGACGATAGTGTCGGGAGAAAAAAATGTATAACTGCTGGCAACTTCTGTCCTTCCCATTAGCATACTATAAGAGACCGACAAATTGTTTAATTCAGACAGCGGTCTGAGCTTTTCTTTTCTATTACCTCTTGTTGAAATAATTCTTGAACTATCCATTTGCTTAACGATCTGAGCAGAGAACACATTATTAATGGCAGCTTGAATGCATTAGAAGACATTGCTCCTTAATGTGCAATCAGGTCAGGAAAGCAGAAAGTTGTTCTGTGCAACCGTTTCTCATTGTAAAAGCCATAGCGCCCAACGTGGAAAAGATTGCTTAGGTATTTCGAAGATTTGATGCTGGTATTTATCTTTCATAGCGCTTTGTTTTTTATTAATTCAGTGGTGAGGGAACATCCTCATCTCTCGAGCGTCAACTAAGAATAAATGCAGCCATTCTTCCTGCCGCAAGGTATAAATTCTAAAGACGACAGAATAAATACATTTTTGATAAATGAGTTCACTGATTATGATCGATTATGATCCCAGGTCCCAGTTTTCGAGATAATTTTACTTGGAGACTTTCGGCCGCGTACAGCGAAACGTTGAGGTGCTCTTGGACGGCGAAAATGTGTCTAAACGTCAAGGCGTGGCAAGTGATAAAAGAATCTTGTCCATCGGTTTGTCTTATCGTTTAAGAGAATTACGAGGCTTTCTCAACGTTCCCATCCACTCGTTCTCGACTCGCCAAAATACCGACAACTCGTCATGCTTTCATTACCCCACACTCCTTTGGAACAATCGAGCGGTAGGCGTCTTTCCCCCCGTGTCTAATGTTACCACATTTAAATCAAGGGTACATAGACAGTGTTCTCTCCTCCCATTCTTCCATAGGGGATATCTCCTGAATGCCTTGTCGTATACAAAAAAAAAAAAAAAAAAAAAAAACGAACGCTATTGAAAATGATTTGGATCGGATCACGTTGTCGATCGTTGCTTTCTATGTAACGCCTTAGTTTCGAACGCCTGTGGATAACGTGGATAATTGTGGCAAGCGAAGTTGTGTATTTGATGATGGATCATGGACCACTATAACCATTTTTCCTGTTGTAATTATAAACGGATGCATTAATCGTTTCCCCAACTTTCGAGTTTAGCGTGATGATAGCGTGAAAAGCAAGTTTGTTCACTTAACGAAAATTTTGAGATCACAAATGTGAGTGCAGCAAATAGGCAGGCCTGTGGCAGGTAGACGACATAATCGATTTTGCTATTTATAGTGATGAAGAATACCATATATTCTTTAGGCGGATTTTCAACGTTCAGCCTTAAAGGTTACCCGCAATATGTGCAAATTTCATATAACGCAGATCTTCATTGAGCACGTGAAGTAAAACAGCTTAGAAACAGTTCTTGAAAATCTTTGAATTTGATTAAATTTTATTTTTTACTTATTTTTATTTTATTTATTTATTTTTTTTTTTTGGTTTTTATTTTAACAAATAGTCCTTGAAAGTTTTCGTATAAATATTATTATTCGGTTGTGTATGAACTTATTCCTGACATGATTTATTACTTTAGCATATCAGAAGTATTGTGTTGGAGCCATTGAAGCGCCTCCTTTGTCAATGTCCATTAATTTTTTGTTTATAAAAAGAGGCAAAATTTATTGTTAATACGTGATATTTTCATAAATATATCTATCGTGACCACCCCGAAATAATTCCTTTTTTTGCTTTGGTTTTTTTTTTGTTTTTTTTGTTTTTTTTTGCCTATTGTTACTCTTCTGAATGACCATTCGTTGCCTTCGCCGCATTTAAATGGAAATCGATTACTAAGAATACCATTTACAAATGATTTTAAGTAAAGATAGTTCAACGTAGACACGTACGTACATTATATGTACGTATACATAACATGAATAATTTCTATTGATTTAAAGATTTGCATTTTTCCTGAATTTTTTCTTTTCATTTTTTTGTTTTATCAGAAGAAAAAACATTTTTTTATTTTTTTTTTTTTATTTTCACACACACATTAAATGCAGTTTAGAGAACGAATGCAACAAATTGTTCAATGTTATATGAGTTTTTGTATGTTCGCTAATTGTATTGCAGTACTGAACGCCTACGAAATATGCGCTAATGCTTATGCAAATGTATATAGATGCGCGTAGATGTGTTCACGCAAATATATGCTCTCAGGCGGTATATGTCATACATTTTAATTAGCTAATTGTCATTTTTTAGACGTTGTGCAATTGGAATACGAAATGCTTCTGAGTAGACCAAATCGGGCAAATTGAGTTTAATAAAATTGCTGTTTGTTATTGATAGAAAGCAAAATAACTGAAACAATTGTGTGTGTGCGTGTCTGTGTGTGTATGTGTGTCTGCATTTGACTATGTTGATGGATCTCATACATACTCATACTTACTAATATGCGCTTGAGTCAGACGCTTTTAAAATTTCCCTAGAACAGACTTTGACTAAACTTGCCTTCCTATATATATGTATACATATATATATATATATACATATATATACATATATATAAGTTGTTAATAAAAGATTTTATTTTACAAGTAATCAATGGCTAACAGGCAGACAGATGTTTAAAAGAATCTTAGGATCGTTAGGATTTCTGCAAGTTGGATAAATTTATCTTTCAGTTACGAGAAAGTCCATTTCACTACTTTCTGTTACAGTCCAAGCTGATGCTTAAATTTTATTAGAAAATTTCCCATAGCTATCTACTAATTGGTAAAATTGCTGATACAAATAATCATATGATTGATAAAATGACACAAGAAAACTATTGAGAAATTTTTTTCCGAAAAATTTTATTATTTTTCCTATTCGGTCTCTCCATATAGGGGCTAGCTTTCCATGATAGCCCCATATATGCTAAGACCTAAGAGATAGGCCGATCGAATCCAAATTTCCTACCGTTCATTTCAGGCGTCGGGTAGCAAGTGGTCGAAAAAGTGGATCGATCTGAACTATTTTCAATAACATTCGCCCTCAAAGTATCGCAAAAATCGCGGATTGCAGCTTCAACATTATGAAAGACGGACAGATGGACAGACGGACAGACAAGGTTAAATTTAGAAAATGATTTTGAACCGCAAGTTCTATAATAAATATTTAAAATTTAAGATTTGACACAGTTCCCAGTTTGTATTTATTGCTGTAAAGTAATGGGAATCAATGAAGCGAACATAATAGTTCCAAATTCATTTATATTTGGTTAAATGTTTTTTTACTTTGGGCTGAATTGTTTTACAGCAACAACCGGCATATGTACATCGACAGTATATGGGTACATCTAATTGAAATCATAGTTTCTATAATTTGCAGCGCTTCAAAAGTGACCGCTGCCTCTACGCACACCCTATCCCACGAATTTGATTTAAGTGATTCTTGAATTTAATTTCAATTTCGAATAATTTTATTGCAGTGAAAGTCCAAGTTGTCCATTATGATTGCAAATAAAATCCAATTTCTTAGGAAGAGAAGAAAGAAGAAAATGTTACATTTTCCACCAACTTCCAGGACAACTAGATAGACGGTATGTGATGGGCCGACTTGACCAATTGACCAATCCTGCTGTTACCTTGATCAAACTGTATATGTATATACATATAAAGCGTATTGCTTCGCGTTACAAGTGCTTGGCAAATTAAATATATCGTATCTCTTTCCTTTCCTATCTCTTTCTCTCTCTCACGCTCTCTGTTGCATTCTCTGCGATAGCTATGAAAAGAATTTACAAATTTTTTTTTTGAGATTCATAATAAAATAAAAAATTAAAAAGAGGAAAAATGAAAAAACAAAGTTATTTTAATCCATTAAAGCCCTTTTTAACAGCGAAAGATAAATCAACAATTTCCTCTCATGGACAGTCGGGGAAAAAAACACTTGTGAAAATTGCATTAAAGTTTTTTCGGGCACTAAATTGAAAGCAAACAATACAA